TCAGTCATCCAGGTACCAAATCAAATAATGCTCAGTCAGGTCATCTGAACCCTAAACATCTAAACCCTCCAGATAGAGGGCAAAACGTCTCTACAAAAAAGAAACTGTCCAGCATTATTGGAGCATACTCCATAGTGGAAAAAATAGTTTGCTGGTGATAAGACGGCCTCCAGAGCCCACCCTCTCCCCGTCAACTCCGCTGAGACAGTCATGCCAAAGTGGTTCAAAACACCAAAGTTCATGCTCATGTTCTTGCAGTGTGAACTGACTTTTATGGCCACTTGCATCAGACTTCCATCAGCAATCATTCCCAAAACTTGTCCTTCATAGACTTCCCCGAAAGCGCCGTGGCCAAGAGCCCTGAAAAAAAATAAAAAAACAAGTATAAAATGAAACTATCGATGAAACTGAAACGGAGCTGTAGATTCTGACATTGGATCCTCCTCGATCAAACAGTACCGGAGGAGTGTGATGTTCTTGCGGGGAACTTCCTTCAGGTCGTTGAGCGATGCAGCCTTGCCGGCGAAGCAGTAGTTGGGGTTGTAGTCCGTCATGATGGTGGAGGAGCGGATCTTGCTCAGCTTGTACTCTGGGCTCTGCAGACGCCCCCTCACCGCGTGCAGGTCGTTCTTCCTGCGGTACCACACTACGAACAAAGACAATGACAGAACAAAGAGGCCGATTTTACTGAGTGACTTCAGGAAGACACACGCCTTGACTATAAGCACGATACAGCTTCGCAAAATGCAAAGTGTAGGAGTGCTAACACAAGGAGGGATCAAACCACGTCACAGTGATAAAATAAGGCCACGCCTCATATTTAGCTTTAAATTCAACAGAATCACAGTCGCTCCTTGTAAAAACCCATGTAAACAGTGCTGTTGCTTGTGGGATGGCCTCTCCTTGGTTACTTCTCCTGAACTACCTTGTGCCAGTGAGTTTGGACTCACCCGCCGAGGAGGCAGCCCACGTCCCCGATGCAGGTTGGTAGTCTGCCAGGGAGGGGGAGTGGCGAGCAGGGAAGAGGTGCCGTCGAGCCATCGCCCGGTGCAGATGCTAGGGATGTTAGAAGGAGGGGTGGGGAATGTAATGGGTGGGAAAAGGAAGGAGGGATGGAGGAGAAGACGGGGGTGGAGGGAGGGGAGGGGGTCGCCCAGGGCATAGACTACCTCCCTGCATGGGGGAGAGCTCAGGTGAAGAGACACCATTAAGCTTAAGGGTGTGTGAGTGTGAAAAGCTCTTTTTTTTTTTTTAAACAGCCATTGATTTAAAAATACAAATACTGTAAGATAAATGTCAGAGAAATTCAGGTTAACCTACAAACTGTATTTTCACTGCACCACAGCTGCATTTTGAAGCATTCATCAACATTATGATTTTTATTTTGAAATTTTCCCTCATTTTGGAAAACCAGAGCAGAAAAACGACGTAAGTTGTGTTCACTTTTATCCATGAAAGATTTACCTGAATGTCTGCCACCAGCTTAACCTTTACCCAAATAAAAACTCACAAAAACTTTATTTTGGTTGAGTATTATGCACTGAAATAAAATAATAAAACCATTGTGAAGTCATGCTTACTTTCTGAATCACATCTAACAGTTCTGGTTTGAAGTAGAGTAGTCCCTCGCTATCACGATTTGACTTTCACCGACTTGCTCTATCGCGGTTTGTGAAAGTACAGTATTGAACAAAAAAATTAATACTGTATTACTCACATGATTGGGATAGTACTGGATACAGTATTGTACAGTAAAAAGTTAATTTCAGACAGGTGCCGCCATTTTATAGTTTTCTCTCTGTAAGCCTCCACTGGAACTCCTGCACATAATGACCACATTTCCCAGAAGGCAACAGGGCCCTGCCCAGAAGCTCTGTTTCCTTCTGCTAAAAAAACAGAGGTACAGTAAAGTTTTGATGTGATCGGTTAACAAAGAGCCTGAGCGGGACGCGTGCGGCCGATGATCCGGCATCTGTAGCTTAACAGGACTTTATTCTTCTGTTTCAACCAGCCAATGATGAGCCATGAGCGGGATGCTCACGGCCGATGATCTGCAGATCCATCATGAGCTTAATGGGACTTTATTCATCTGTTTCAACAGGCTGGTCACCGGACGCGCGCGGCTGATGATCCGGTGATCCATCCAGAGCTTAGCGGAACTTTTTTCGTATCTTTCAACTGGCCAGTCATCGGACATGCGCGGCTGATGATCCGGTTGTCCATCTGAAGCTTAACAGGACTTTTTCACCTCTTTCAACCAGCCGATGAGGATTTCCAAGCGGGGACACACTGCTAAGTAAAAGTTAGTAGCTACATATAAGTATGTTGTTAAAATTAGAAGGATTAAGAGTTTAGAACATTGATTGATGGGTTGCTGCAGGGTAGGTCTGCAGAAACGGAACAGAGTCGGACTGAAACAAGCCGAGTGGCTCCTGTTCTGCAGAGCCCCGTAAGTAAAATTTTGTAGCTACATATACAATACCGTATGAATGCTGTTAAAATGATGTAGGTTTAAGAGTTTAGAACATTGTAAAAGTGTGGGAAGGGTTTAAAACGCCTTACTATGTACCTGTATATAAATATTAAAATAAACTACTACTTACTACTACTACTTACTACTTGTGTACATAATTTCATTCAATAAAGTAAATAATAAACAATAAAGTTTACTTGAACTTGGACTACTGTATCCACACTTCACGGTTTTTCACTTATTGCAGGGGGCGTGGTCCTTAACACCCGTGATAAACGAGGGACTACTGTATTGAGGTGCTGTTTGGGACTTTTGTTCTTGTTGGGGTTTTTCCAGAAAAACAAAATGATTTCACCTCAAACAACCAGAACAGAAGTAGGATAAAGGATTGCAGCATCTTATAAGTTCAAACAGCAAAGGTCTGAAAAAATAAACTAAAATTAAATAAAATCTAAGGGAAAAAAACACTTTTACTCTAAGCAAAGAGAAGACTTTTTACAAAGTTTAAACCAACCACCGAGTCACAGTTCTTGACTTGACGGCCATTAGGTGGAATAAACTTTACGTATACATAAACTGAGAGTTTGTTAAAGACTGAAGTTCACCTACAGGCTGGACAGAAGGCCGAAAAACTTCAACCAATCAGACAGAAAACCATTGAAGTAAAGTTGTAGAGCAAACTTTATTGGTGGCGACATCATCATGAGAAAAAATGATAATAATTTCAAATGATCTTCTTAAGAAACTGACTTTAGGGCATCAAGTATGTGAGAAGTGTTTCAATGTTAGGACCAAAACTGCAGAAAAACACACATCTATTCCCAATTATTAAAGAATTTTGAAAATCAAACTTTTTTTTGTTTAAAAGCTTCAACCTGAACATTTAAGGTGTCTTTTTTTCTGTGATTTTTACACCAGTAGTTTCCCTGCAATGCTTACAATCTGAACCATTAACAATAAGAGCATTAAGGTGAGCATCAGATATGCATAAAAATATTTTTTTGTATTCAGAGTTAAGGCACGGTAATAAAACATAAGTTAACAGAGAAGAATATTAATACATGTATTTGTTGTGCACATGCAAAATCAACAAGTGTCTAATTGGTTGATGATATTGGATTAAAAGTTACATTAAAACTGGCTACAATTATGCCAGAAGAATAATTCTGTAATTTTATATATTTTGTGAATATTAAAACAAGAAATATGGTTTTATTTCATTTTCTCTAAGTAAATAAAATACAGTGTTTTGCTCAGACCACACTGCCAAAATGCAACATGCTCAAAGTGGAATTAATTTGTCATCGTTGATATTTTATTATTCATTTAGAAAGTTTAATAAATGTTTTATTTCAGCTAAAACCATTTTTGTTCAACTTTTAGCTCAGAACGCTGAAAGTGTATTATTTTCCTGGATGCTAACGAGACACAGATTCCTCTCCAGGCTTTTTAAACGAGTTTTGATTCACCAGAACTTCCTAAAAGTGCGGAATAGAAGTGAGAAGATTTCTCAGCGGAGCGTTCTTTAATTTTCAATGAGGTTGGTATAAGACGACGAAGGAAGAAAACCTGAGGCATCAGGATTCCCTTCTGTGCAGGATTTAGGTGTCAGAAAGTCAGCAAAGTCGAATAAATCCATCTTATTTTACAGAAAATTAATATACATATTGATTCTGCTGTTAGCTGAGACAAATTAAAAGTTCATTTAATATTAGAAGTTAAAAAGGTAATGTGCTAAAAGCAGAAAAGTGTTGAATTTGTTATTTTTCTGTCCTAAATATTACAGCCAAGTTGAAGTTTTGAGAAAAAAAAGTTCTATTTATCCCTATAACTATTATCCTTTTTATTGCTATTTTCAACCATCGGAGAAAAATACCACAATTATCATTTTAAAACACTCAGCTAAACATTATATCAGAGCCGAATTATTTCAGATAAAAGCTAAACTTAAGCTTGTGCTGAAATTTAGTCACTTTTCTCCTCTTAGGTGTTTTACTTAAGACGACACAGTTGCCTTCCTGTCATTTTCTTCTTTTACAGTCAATGAATCACAATGGCTGACATTTCCTGCCATCTAACTCCGCTCATTAGCTGTTTGAAGGTAATACTTTGTAGTTAAATGCCAAAGCTTTTTGCTTGTGCTTTTATAGCTTTTTGCACTACAAAGTGAGTTACAGTACACCTAAACTGAGTCATGATTTAAAGGGAGCCACTGAAGAGCCACTAAATGAGGCTCATAAACTGTGAGGGTGAATAATCACCTCATTATGTCACCCTCTCATCTGCAGTTTGATCTTTCTAGACCTGCTTTTAACTAGTTTGTTCTGTGTTTACATACAGATAAAGAAAAGAGAATCACAATAAAAGTGATCATTGTGCACATTTCTGCAGCAACCTGCAATTAAGCTCTGCCACTCCTTTAGCTGTGGCACGCAGCCAGGACGGAGATGCTTGTCGAGAGCTGTTCTCGCTGCAGCCGTTAGTAACATCTGGAGGAACAAAACGTGCAGCTGCGCTCACAGCCTGTGGAAGGTGGAGGGCACAGACTGCACACACTGAAGGAGTCTCTTACTGAGGACGACACCTGCACAGATCAGAGCGACGCTGCTCGCGATGGTGGAGATCACCACAGCCAGGATCAGGGACATGGACAGCTGACTCTGGGGTTCTGAGTTAGGCGGAGCTGCAGCAGAACAGAGACGTTTGTTTCTCAATGACGTTTCAAAGGAATAACGTAAAAAGTGGCGTTGTGAGGGAAACGTACCCGCAGCGCCAATGCATGTCACGTTGTCACCAGCCAGGAATTCCTCGTCGTCACAGAGGCAGAGGATGAGGTGAGTATCTTCATCCCGTTTGCAGCTCTGCGTCTGACAGTGGCTGCAGTTCAGCTGCACCTTGATCTCACACTCGCCGTGACCCTCCATGGCTGGAAGGAACAAAATAAATTAAATGGAAAATGAACAATTTTGAATCAGATTTTATAACCAGATGTTAATAACCCAATTTGTTACAGAAACAGCCAAAATGACTAAACATAAGTTAAACATTAAACTTCTGGGCTTTACGTACACAGACTAGGCCAGCATAATGTAAACCAGTCATGTGACTCAAGCTCCCTTGTGGTTTTTGATGGAGTGCTTTGTTGACATTGAGTGTGGACCTGCACTGCAGCTCTGCCTTCTGGGAAAAATAAAATCATCAGCCTAACATGCATGTTTTTGGTCTGTGGGAGGAAACTAGAGTACCCGGAGAAAATCCATGTATGCACGGAGAGAGCACTGGTAAACTCCACCCTGAAAGGCCCCCCAGCCAGGATTTGATCCTGCGACCTTCTTGCTGAGAGGCAACAACCGTATACCAACTGAGCTACCGATAGAGTTCAGAGCTTTTTTAAGTTTGATTCCATATTTTTGCAATGAGTACCTTTAAATTAAAATAACTTAGGTCAGTTTTAGATTAGATTAAATCTGTGTTTAAAGGTTCAGAGCCCGTGATGCATCTCTTTAATTCAAGAAGGAAGAACTGAGCTTTAACTTTGATGGGGAAGTGAAGTGTCATGGTTTCATGTCTTCAGGTAAAATTATTATTTTTAAGCTCACATCCTCCTAATACCTGATCACATGCACAAAACAAAACAAAAACTTTTGTGATATTTCATTTTTAAGCACATAACATAAAAACAGCATAACCAGGCTATACTAACGTTATCATTGCCGCCATAAAGCCTTGTTTCTTGTGCTGAAGACTTTATTCATACAAGTGTGACTTCTGATAAAAGACATTGTTTAACATCCCATTTAATTCTGCCCTTGCAAAGCTGGAGTTTGAGAAATATTAATAAATATTATACATCATCACAAATGCAACAAAGCGCATATTCCACTTTCTCATACTGAAGTTTTCTCCAAACCACAGAACATAGCTGCAATAATTTAGCTTATTTTTTTAAGCATGTTGATAACAGCTGTTTGTGTTTACATTGAGCTTGGAAAGAATTACAGAAAATCTTCAAATCCGGCTCATTCATGCCATCGGGGGAAAGGAGGAGCATCTCAAACGTGTTTTAATTCAGTGTTTTGCTGAAGGATTCTTGCATCGTGCTGTATTACGACACCGGCTTGGCATGAAGTTCAAATGAAAGAAATAAAACATTATTGATCCGTGTTGTTTAGTTTTATGTTCTCAGTGTTAAACAGAGAAGTGAGAAATTACTGACAGATGGAGAAAACACAGTTTTGGCTATAAATAACAGATTTTGTGTAAATGTTTTCATTGTTACTATGTTGTTAAAATGGTTATACAAACAAATTAATTAACCATGATACTTTTTCACAGCGTAGTTAATAACACCCACAAGACATTTCATTGTTGCCATCATAAAAGATAAATTCAAAATTCAAAGTAAAGCAAAGCTTTCTTGTTTTTTCCAACACTTCTAGGGAGTTAAATGAGGCCTGAGCCGTGTAAAACACTAAAAACAAGAAGGGATTCAAACCACATGACAGATAAACATGTTGGTGATCTAAAAAAAATAATTATGATAATATCTATTTGTTTCCTGAATCTGTTTAGAGCGAAACAACAGAGTCTTTCACATGGCCGTCTGTCAGCACCGAGGGCAACGAGCTGCACGAGGCTGACAATTAACCGAGAAACTTCCTGTCCCTCACGGCGAAGTAATGAGAATCAGATGGTCGGCAGATCAGCTAAATAAACAATTTTAAAAACTCCATACATTCGTGCACGTAAGCCTCAGTGTCCAGTTGCAGAATTTGAATGCAGACAAAATTAATACGTAAAATGCACATTGACGTTAAGTTGTTGCAAAAAGTCTATTGTGTTGCATTCTGGTAAAGGAAATCGTAAAAACATCTCAATTATAAAAATTGAAAATCTCAGCTGCTGCTGTTTGTCTCTATTTGTAGAACATCACTTATGAGTTCAAAATAACCGAAACATTAAATCTCTTGCTTTCATCAGCGGAGAGCATTTTCTTCTTCTCATTTCCATTTTAGTCTTTTTTGTTTATCCAACAAACGTAAAAAAAAAAAATTATGCTTGCTTTTTACTTTCCTATCTGACGGCTATTTTACTAACAGCATCGTGAGGATCACCTGCCAGAGGTTGTAAAAAGATCTCTCCCATCGGATGCATGAAGGAAACCCCGTTCTGCCCGTCTGCTGTGATCTCATCCGTCAGCGCTGCATCACCGCCTAGAAAAACAAGCAAAAAAGGCCTTTAAGAATTATATTTTTTAACTGAAAGTTAACAAAAACACGTTCGGAAATGAAGTTTAAATAAAGGATCAGTAAGAAGTATCTCTCTTTTTCCTTTTTGTTCTTTTTTAGACAAAGTTGGACACTTTTCACAATCAAATTATAATACGAAGTACGACCACCATTGCTCACATGATGTTGCTGCCTGTTGGACAATTTCTATAAAAAGGATTTCAACCAAATTGTCGTAGAAAAAATGAATAAATTCACAATCACATTGTAGATTTAATGAACTTTAACACAACTCTTTGTGGAGGAACAGTCAGAATACAGGGAGTAACAACATTACAAGCACAGAGCTCATGTTTGCACGGCCTTGCTTCTGATCTGGTTCTGCATTCCCGATCAGAAAAAAAATTGTTTTATAGAAACTAATCCTCCCCTTTATCAGAACCGAGTCGCAGCAGCCTCAGACGGGAGCCGCTGATACCGACGCCATGAACTAAAGCGTTTTCACCATTCAGATCACAATGATAAAAGTTTATTGATATAATAAAATAATGGAGCATGCATATATCCCCTCGACCCAAACAACGTCCTCTTTGTTCAGTTAATAGATGTGATTGTTATTGAGCTTCACAAGCAAGCAATGAATTAAATGTGACCAGGACAGTAATTTTATTTCTCATTTTGTGTTTACTGATTAGAGAACTCTGTTCAAATTGTTGAGAATGATAAAAATAAACCGTTATTCATGTGGCACAAACTGGAACATCTAAAAAATAATAAATAGTTATGCCGGAGAGTTGTGGGGGGAACAAAGGACGTAGGAATTATTCGTTGATTTATTAATTTTTTTTAACTGCAGCTGACAGTTTATTCTCACCTCTATATCCTCCTCCACCACCCCCAGCTGTGCAGGCACCACCTCCACCTCCAAAACCTCCAAAGGTTGGCCATTTGAGTTTAGCCAGAGCTAGAGGGCATGAAGATCCCCCCACTGCACCCTCCACCAGAGATCTGCCGGCACTGAGATGAAGACTGGGACTGTCCCTCCATCCACCCCCTCCACCTTATAAAAAAACAAAGTGTGACGCTGTTGGAAACATTTGAAAGGAATAAAAAAAAAACATGGAGCTGCAGGATTACACTGATGTTACTGTCTAAACTCCACGCACGTCCTGGTCATCTTTAATCAAATCTGGATAACATCCCTCCTGTCACTGAGTTGGGTTTGTAAGGTCCCAGCTGGTGGCTACTGATTAGGCACCAGAGGCAATCAGTGAAGCGGGGGCTTTTCATCAAGTTATCCAAAAATATCTCCGTCTACACATTGTATTAATGATCCAAGTCCCTAAAGTCACAGTTTTCTAACAAATGAGGTGTGTCCTGCTGAGACAGACTGCAGATATAAGATTAAACATGCAAAAACACAACATTGTCTCCATCCTCCCGTTTTCTCCTTCTGTCAGTTTTTACATCACTGACGGTCAGGCGTGAGAAAGTCGAGTAAACTTTAGGCGGTGTTGTTTTAACAAAAGGCTAAAATAAGTTTTAACCGTAGATCACAACGTTACAAAAAGTTGGCTAAACTGTCTTTTATTTCTTAATTTAAAAAACAGATTTTTAAGCAGTGTGGCGATTTTAACAAGTCATTATGTGGCTTCTTCACAGCAGAGGCATTAACAACACTTTAATGATTTGTGACAAATGACTAAGTGACAGGAGGAGGCTTTAAATAAATAAAACCAAGATGACGTTTCACTACCTGCAGCACCAGTTCGACCATTGGTGCCAGAAGCTGCGGTGCTGTTCTCAAACTGCTCCAGAGGCATGGAGTCCAGCGTAGACTCTGGGTCCTCCAGGTATGCATTTCCTCCTCCACCAGCTGCGATCAGCAAAGGCACCAGCTCCTCACCCTCAATCTGACGAATGACCAATTTAATGAATATTAAACTGAGCACTAAAGCAAGCATCCGCCTCAGTGGAAGGTCAGCTTTAAGCAAGACGAGGGAAATTAAATTAAATGTTTCTTAAACACCTTAAAGATGTAAGTGGCTCCTCCACCACCGCCTCCTCCACCTGCCCAGCCTGCACCCATCTCAGACCTGCGGCTGTCCTCAATCACAGATGACTCTCCCAGACAGATTTTCTGTGTAAGGGGGTGCCTCTGGTGTAGGAGGACAAACGATGAAGAGGAGATAAATCAAACAAAACCAGAAGTCCTGCAGAATGTGGGTCACTTTGCTCTTCAGAGCGGTGAGAGACACCCCCCAGTGGGACATTTGTCACAGCAGCCACACTCACCCCGGGGCATGCGTCTTCTCCTTGGTGGCCCACCAAGATATAAAGTATTTCTCCTTTCTCCAGAGGAAATATGGCGGATATAAACACTCCGTGGTTGCGTTTGTTGTGGTTCTTGGCTCCTTTTCCTCCTGCAGCTCCGTACGCTGAGATACTGAAGGAGGAAATAAAAGCTTATGGAGGAAAGAAACTGGCTCGAGCACCACAGTTCATCCCAGTCATGTAGGCAGACTGAAATACACACTCATTTCCAGTTCTCTACAATTTTCTACGTAAACAGATTTGGAGTCTGCATGGTGTTGACTCTGAGCTCAGATGCGTGTGATTTGACCTGAGTGAATTAAAATCTTGTAAAATGTCGTAAAAGAACTCCAAGTGCTTTGACATAAAAATGATCATCACCACTCATCAGACTGGTAACATTTTGTTGGAAAATGGCAGTAAATTTTTATTTGAAGATTTTGATCTTTACAAAACGTTTGTTCTACCCAGCATCTCAAAAAAAGACTTAACTATGGGGTGCTGTTTGTAAAGTTGCACAGTCAAAAATTAACATCAATATTTTTGGTTTATTTAGCTTTTAATACGAAACTAACTAAACCAAAAAATTGATGTTAAGAAAAAAAAGTTTTTTTTTCAAAGTCATTTTCACCATGTTATTCATACATTTATAAACTGCATAGTTCCCAACTAAATATTTAACTTAAAATATAAATATTTAGTTTACAAACTAAATAGTTAACTTGCAAGTTAAATATTTAGTTAGTAAACTAAATATTTAGCTGTAAATTAAATATTTATTTTATACCTAAATATTTAGTTTACTAACTAATTATTTAGTTTATACCTAAATATTTAGGTAGTAAACTAATATTTAATTTGATAACTAAATATTTAGTTCAGACCTAAATATATAATTTACAAACTAAACATTTAATTTCCAATATAAATATTTAATTTGCTAACTAAATATTACCTCGGACCTAAACATTTAACTTGCTAGCTAAATATCTAACTTGCAATTTAAATATTTAGGTCCGAGCTAAATATTTAGTTAAGAAATTAAATATTTAGTTTACTAACTAAATATTTAGGTCCGAGCCAAATATTTAGTTAAGAAATTAAATATTTAGTTTACTAACTAAATATTTGGGTATAAATTAAATATTTAGTTAGTAAACTAAATACTAGTAAACTAAATTATTAGTAAACTAAATATTTAGGTATTAATTAAATATTTAATTTACACTTAAATATTTAGTTTACTAACTAAACTATTTAGTTTACTAACTAAATTATTTAGTTTACTAACTAAATATTTAACTTGCTAGTTAAGTTTTTAGTTTGTAAACTAAATATTTATCATGTAAATTAAATATTTAGTTGGAACTATGACATTTATAAATGTATAAATAGCATGGTGAAAATATGACTTTGGAAAAAAAAACTCATTAAAAGCTAAATAAACCAAAATATTGATGTTAATTTTTGACTGTGCAACTTAACAAACAGCTCCCCATGCTCAACTGTCCTTTTCAGGTGGCTATAAAGCATTTACATGTTGAAACATGTAACTAAAACATTCCACATATTGGTCAGGGACTGTGTCAATAACAAAAATAACTTATCCCAACAATACACATGCAACTCCCCACCTGTTGCGTCCAACTGAGTGAACATTTTGGATGAGAAGAGAAACATCTTCAAGAATAATGAATAAACAATAAAGAAAAATATGTTACAGTCGATTTGTTTGGTGAGATATTTTATATCACAGTCTCAGTCTATAGCACTGTTGTTGTTTTTGTGCTGATATTGATATCAAAAATCAAAGATGTGCAAAAAGAAATAGCTACAGATGTTAACAACTTTAACCTCTCCTGCGTCACTTACAGGTATCGGTTAGTAGCGGGCACCTTCCATATTTGGACTCCTTTCAAAGGGCCTTCCTTCCTCACAGTAACACTGACGTTTTTGTTCCTGTAGGTGCTGTCACATTGGGCTTGGGTTGGACCCTGGGGGCCGCTGGCACCACACGAGTTAAACCACCAGGTCAGCAGAGAAATGTCTATGATCAGAGACACGTATAGAAGAAAACACATTAATATTTCTAAAATTCACATAAAACTCAGTGTAACATTAAAAATAAAATACTGTAAATGTATAACAGATTGGATCAACCGACAGGTGTGTTTGTGGATGTGAAGTGGATTCAAGGTTTCAGCTGAAGCATCGTAGCACAACATAGTTCTGAAGCTAGGTGAAACTTTGGGACGTAAGGTACCGGGTACCGTAAGGTGCTGGAGCTACCTGTGGTTGAAGGTTCTGGGAGTGGGTTCATGAAATCCGAGTTGTCCATTTGCAGCAGAGAGTTGAGATCTGAGACAGAAGCAAACAAAAGAAATACTGAGCTGGAAAAGCCTTTCTATATTGGACTGGATTATAGTTAAGATAATAAATTGACTTTATTGTAGGGGATTAAATTAATATAAAACAATAAATATGAAATAATTTCCTAAAACTGAAAAGAGGTTTCCTATTGTCCTCATCCTCTTTCATTGCTAAGTTTTTCCCTCAAAATCAATTTGGCATCTTTAAATTGATTAAGCAATGGTAGCTCAACTGTGTGAACCTCACAGACTGCCCCAAGGAGAACTCAGATCCCAGAACAGAGTAAGGTCATCCATATAAGTACACACCTTGTTTTAAGTTACATCTAGCCATGATCAAATTGATAAAATATCACAAAGAAAAATTTCCTGGTGTGCCTCCATAGAAGTTTAAATTAATTCTCTTACAAGCCACTTCTTCTTTCTGCTTTTCCCTCTTCAGGGGTCACCACAGCGAGTCATCCTCCTCCATCTCTCTGTCCTCTACATCCTCTGATCTCACTTCAACTACCTCCATGTCCTCTCTAACTCCATCCATAGAACGTCTCTTTGTCTTTTTCCTGGCAGCTGCATCTCTAACATATCCTTCTACCAATATACCCACTGTCCCTCCTCTGGACATGTCCAAACCATCTCAGTCTGGTCTCTAACTTTATCTCCCAGTTGTTCAACCTGTGCTGTACCTCTGATGATCTCATTCCTAATCTTATCCATCCTTGTCACTCCTAAGGAGAACCTCAACATCTTAATTTCTGCCACTTCCAGTTCTTTCTCCTGTTTTTTTTTTTTTTTTTTTTTGTCAATGTCTGTCTCCAGACCATACAACATAGCTGGTCTCACCACTGTCTTGTGTTCTAGAATTGCGCCGCTCCAGGTGGCTGCATGTTGGAGCAGCTCTGTTACTTTCATTCTGAGATTTTGCTTTTGGAAACTTTAATTCCTGTTTTTCTGGATGTAAATCACATTTTTTTGGATGATTGTTTCCTCTGGTATCGGATGCTGTGCAGCTGGAAGGATTTTTACTGAAACTTTTTTAGTTTTGGACATTTGTTATGATGCGTAACCATGGCAACAAGGCAGTTCCTACAACCAACAGCAGCTGATTAACATCTCAAAAGCTCAAATAATACCTCAACTACAGCCCCAAATCTCAAATGAGTTGAAAAGGATGTTCTGTGGACGCATTCTCATCTACCTGCCAGCTGTGCTCGAGTGCCTGACCACTGAGATCCTGGAACTAGCAGGAAACACAGCTCATGACAGCGGAAGGACAGGGTCGTCCCTCGGCACCTACAGTTGTCTGTCCGCAGTGACGAGGAGCTCGGCAGACTGCTGGGAGGAGTGGCTATCGCTCTGGGAGGAGTTCTGTCCAGCATTCAGGCGGTCCTACAGCCCGGGGGAACCGAGAGGCCATCCGAGTCTGGGTGGACGGATCAGACAGCATCTGCAGCCAGTTTCTTAGGATCCACTGTGGGATGAACCTTTAGAGATCCTTCCTGTCTACAGCCATCAGTATCTTTAACATCTCTTAATGAAATGAGGATAACGAGTTACAACAACAAATAATTTCCCTCTGGGATTAATAAAGTATTTTTGAATTGAATTGAATTGAATTAAACGTTTTCTTTGACCTTTGCTGACACTCTTTTGCCACAAATCACTCCTGAAACTTTTCTCCATCCATTCCATGCTGCCTGGACTCTCTTTTTCACCTCTTTACCACACTCCCCATTTTCCTGGACAGTGGACCCCAATTACTCGAAGTCATGCACCTTTGTGACCTCTGCTCCTTAGCCTCCCTCTCATTCACAAACATGCACTCTGTCTTACTAGGGCTGACTTTCATTCCTCTTCTTTCACGTGCATATCTACACCTCTCCAAGTTATCTTCCACCTGTTCCCTGTTCTCACCACAGATCACGTCATCTGCAAACATCATAGTCCATGTGGATTCGTGCCTGACCTCATCTGTTACTTGGTCCATCACCAGAGCAAACAAGAAGGGGCTCAGAACCGATCCTTGATGAACGCCCACCTCCACCTTGAAGTTATTTGTCACTCCTACAGCACATCTCTCCACTGTCCTGCTGTCCTCATACATTCATTCTTTTAACCTTTATTTATACAGGTTAATCCCACTGAACCTCGGGAACTCATTTACAAGAGAGACCTGATTTTAACAAAGAGTGATGACAGCAACAGACAATCATAACAAGCATATAAATTGAGAAGAACAAATAAAAGAAAATGGTATTAAAAAAAAAAATAAAAAATGTCCTGTACCAGTCTAACATACTTCTCTGTCACTCCAGATTTCCTCATGCAATACCACACCTCCTCCTTCGGCACTCTGTCAAATGTTTTTCTAAATCTACAAAGACACAATGGAGTTCTTTCTGACCCTCTCTGTACTTCTACATTAGTATTCTCAAAGCAAAGATGGCATCTGTGGTGCTCTTTCTTGACTTGAAACCATACTGCTGCTCACAGTCACCTTGTGTCTATGTCTAGCTTCCAAAACTCTGTCCCAGATCTTCATTGTGTGACTTGTCAACTTAATTCCCCTGTAGTTGTTACAACTCTGTACATCACCGTTGTTCTTAAAAATGGGCACCAGCACACTTCTTCTCCATTCCTCAGGCATTTTCTCACTCTCAAATATGCCTTTGAATATTTGAGTCAAAAACCTCACTGCCATCTCTCCAAGACATTTCCAAACCTCCACTAATATGTCATCTGGTCCTACTGCCTTCCACTTCTTCATTCTTTTCAGAGCTTTCCTTGCTTCACCCTCACTAATCTTTCCCATTTCCTGGTCCACAGTTTCTATGACCTCTATTCTTCTTTCTCTTTCATTCTCTTAATTCATTAGCTCCTCAAAGTACTCCTTCCCTCTTCCCATCAGACTCTAGCCACACACTCCCCTGTCACAACCATACAGTCTCCAATCTCCCTCAAGTTTCCTCTTCTACACAGATTGTAGTCTACCTGTGTACTCCATCCTCCACTCTTATAGGTCGCTCTATGTTCCTCCCTCTTTTGGAAATGGGTGTTGACTACACCCATTTCCATTCTCTTGGCAAAATCCACCACCATCCGTCCTTCCTGGTTTCTTTCCTTGACACCAAACCTACCCATCACTTCCTCATCTCCTCTGTTTCCTTCACCAACATGTCCATTCAGGTCTGCTCCTATCACCACTCTCTTCTCCCTGGGAGTACTCTATCACTTCATCCAGATCCTTCCAACATTTATAATTCTCTACATCACATCCAACCTGTGGAGCATAACCACTGACAACATTTAGCATCAGACCTTCTACTTCTACCTTCAGACGCATCACCCTATCTGACACTCTTTTCACTTCTACAACATTCTTTGAAAACTCCTCCTTCAGAACCACTCCTACTCCATTTCACTTTCTATCCACACCATGGTAAAACAGTTTAAACCCTGACCCAATGCTGTGAGCCTTGCTGCCCTTCCACTTGGTCTCTTGGACACATAAAACATCTACCTTCCTTCTCCGCATCATGTCAGCCAGCTCTCTACCATTGCCTGTCATCAGTGCTTCATTTGAGTTATATCCTGCCAGAACAAGATCCGGGAACTCTCTCGTTTTGACCATGTGTACTCTGGCAACTGTTTGCTCTGATCTGGCAACTCAAATCTCAGCCCCTAAAAGTCCCAAGTCATTGCACATTTTTATTTTGTTTATTTGTTAAAAATACAATGAGAGGATACGTTGCCCAGCCTGTAGAGTGGATATTATGGCTGCAGCAGGCGCACCAGCTTGCGCACATGCTCCTGCCCAGCAGAGACACGGACGGCATGTCCCGCGGAGATGAAGTGTCTTCATTAATATGGCAGGCCAAGTGGCCCATTAATAGCCAGACATGGGGTAAAAATGGCTATGAATGGTCCTTTTGGCTTGCCATATATACTTTACACACAGGAGCATGTTCAGACAGCTCTACAGAGCATGCACAACTGCTGATGTGAACTCACACATACGTTTCAGACATAAATAAAAAAGCTTAGCTAAAAAAAATATGAGATATATATGATGTGTATTATTCACATTACATCACGTATCAAAACAACGGTGCTAATTTGTCAAAAATAACAGTGATCAAAATGGCGAAAAGACAGTCCAATTCACTTTCATAAAATTAATGAATGGTAAATGGACTACATTATATAGCGCCTTTCTATCTGATCAAGATACTTAAAGTGCTTTACAACACAATATGTGTCCTCAGTTACAAATTCATACAGCACTCTAATATATACAAAAATTAATCAGTGCTTTAGATCCCATTCATACACCGATGGGACACACATCAGAGGCAATGAGGGGTTCACTGTCTTGCCCAGGGACACTTGGCATGTGACTGCTGGTGGAATCGAACCCCCAACTCTTGCATTGGAGGACGACAGTTCTAACCACTCAGCCACAGCCGTCCCCAATGCTGTGGGGACGGCTGTAGATGTGACAGAATTAAGGATGGATGGATTGTCCTTAGTTGCACAACCGAGAAGGCAGTGGTAATTGAGGTTGGAGCAGCAGGATCTACAACGCGCAGGAATGAAATCATCGGAGAAGAGTTCTGCTCAGAAACATGGAGTGTGTGTTGGGGGGGGGGTTAGGACACTTGACAGAGTTGGAGCTGCTGTATTCACACACAACCTGCTGTTGCTCTCCAAAATAGTAATTTAATCAAGTGTTTGCAGATGTAGGTAAACATAGATGTTTAACAACTCGTTAAAATAGGATACACCAAAATGCAGGAAATAGCATCTACTTCATTCAAAAATTTAAGAGGGAGGAGGACCCACAAGCTCCCTCCACTTCCCCTGCTTCCCCCCCCGTGCACACCCCCTCCTCCTCCCACCTGCCCCCACCCCCCATCAATCAGTTTACAAATTAAGCCCTGCATGTCATAACCCCCACATTAGAGTTACATCCTCAGTCCTACATTCTTGACTTTCCTCTTCTCCCTCTGTCTCCTGACAGTTTCTCTCCTCGTGATCTTCGACTAACACTGGCACAATTTCCGCCAGCATCCTGTTTGTCAACAGCACCGGTGGCGGTCGATGACTTTTATAAACTTGCATGTTAGTTTTGGCATGTTGTTTGGTTTTTTTACATCAAATGCCCTTCCTGACACAACCCTCATCTTTTACCCGGGTTTTGGACCAGCACAAGAGATACACTGGCTTGTGCTCCCCAGTGGCTGCTTTCTTCTGCTGTAAATCACTCACAGACAAAAACACAAATGTACATTGAGTACAGATGGGAAAAGTTGTTGAAATCCCTTCCACTGTTCTGTGAGAATTAAAAACCCAAAGTGCATCAACACAGACCGAGGAATGCTGGCGCTCACTACTGTCATACTGCGGTACAGGGATTGCAGCAAATCATTTAGCAGTGGTTAGCCAGATGTCGGAGCCAATCATTAAAACAAGGCATCAAACAAATGACTGAATACTGCTGCAGCGAGTCCAGAGGAGTCTTTGCTCCCCTCCACTGATGAGTTTGATTTTGGGAAGTGCATCTTAAAAGCAAAAGGGTGACCTTCAAGAGGATCTTTTATGTTTGGGCTTTACACAATCAATTAGTGATGCGGCGTACTGGTGCTGAAGCAGGCTGCTCCGATGGCGATGTTATCGAGAGCGAGATCAGCCCTGGATCCTCGTCCCCACGCAGCTTTAACATTTACATGAAACCTGGAGCGAAGCAGAAAGCACACAGGGAGTTAGAATTGTCTCTACACATGAAAACGAGTTTTAATAAAACTGCTAACAAAACCATAAAATCCTCACAGAGCGTTAAAAATAATAGGGCATTATTGTCATACACTTTGTAAAAAGGCACATATTTGTACTGGATTAGGACATGCGCAAAAATGACCATAAAAGGTCATAAAATAAAACATTTTCATCACTGAATATTGAGTAAAACACAAATATGTTTCTACTTTCCAAACCACAGGTCCGAAAATTTAATATGTGCAGCATTTAATTAAAAACAAATGCGTAACAAAAACTCGTAGAGCATCCTTATGTTTCCAATAGCGCCTCTAGTTTAGTGTTATTATTTACAGGTTTAATCTCGGGGGTGGGTATTAGAGCAGGGGTGTCAAACCCACTTACAAAAGGAGGCCAACATTAAAACCTTTTTTAAACTAAGGGCCAGTTTCAGAATCTACATTAGATACCCAACATCTTTTCTTGGTTCCTCAACAAAAGTTTGACTGGTCTCATTTGACGTTCTCTGTTGTGCTTTTGACATCAAAATCAAAGATTACAGAAAAAATTAAAGTGATAAAAGTATTTTACATTTAAAATAGCATCTTGGGGGCCAGATAAGACGTCAACGAGGGCCACATTTGGCCCCCGGGCATTGAGGTTGACACATTAGATCTTTTAGATTTGTGGTTATTTGCTTTGATTTTATGTTTTCTATTGTTTAATTCTTCTTTTTGTTTCAGGCTCTCGTCTTGAGTCTGACGTGAATTTATGGTGCTAATTAGGATAAATTCCACGATACAATCAAAACAGTTTTACTTTAGTCTAAGGGCACCTTATTAATGTCATAATCTATTCTTCTGTTATTTATTGAGTTCCTTGTTTATCATTTAGTCTTATTTCTTTTGTGTGTTTTTTTTCTGTCTTTCAGTATATTTGTGTTTGAGTTATGTTTCTTGTGTTTTCCTGTCAGTTCAGATCTTTATCTCAGTGTTTTTTACTTCATTTGTTAGGTTTATTTTAATATTCTTGTGTAGGTCTTGTTTTGTTTCCCAGTGTTCCTTGTGCCATTTCTCATTTATCCTCATTCAGCTTCCTCAGTGTTAGTCTGCCACCCTCACCTGTCCCCAATCAACAATCAGTCCACATGCGTTCACTTATCTTTGCTCGATTTATTCAGTCTCTGCTCCACCACTCATCTGTTCTGCATTATCTGGTATCCGTGCCTCAAGGTTTGTGTTTCGTGTACTCTGGTGATCGTCGGAGTTTTCTTATTCATTTAGTTTTGATGTCACAACAACCTTTTTGTTTTACTTTCTTTAATAAAGCCTTTTAGTTTAACCTTCGAGCTCCTTGCATCAGTCGGCATTTGAGTCCAATCATACCACAAACGCTACAATTAACTGGGAAACCCCCCGAATAAATGTTCTTCTTTTGAACAAATCCATCATTAATAAATTAATATTTTGACAAAGCTTATTAAAACACTGGTTTAAATTGTTTCCCTTTTACATGGGCTGTCCCTTTAGTATCAGTAGTTGGTACCAGGTTGTCTTTAAACACAACACCTGATAGTTTGACATTTTGGCATTTCAGATTTTTGTTCCTTCCCGTTACAAACCCATGATTAAGGCCTCTCAGCTCCAGCGCGACTGCCTCCCAGTCGTCCGTCCACTGACCGTGTCTCTCCCAGACCAGAAGTGCAGCGTTCGTCCCGTTTTCTTCTATAGCCACTTGCAATGAACCGTTGAAACCACCGTGTAGATACAAAGAGAAATGCATCTGCACAAACACAAAGGCAGAACAACAAGGTTTTAACAGCAGGTTTTTATAAAAAATTTAAAAGAAAAACAACAACAGTGACACAGAAAATAAATACAAACTCAATTTTTAGTTAGTCGGACGACTGGTTTGAAAGCTGCTGACCTGGCAGGCGGTGGTAGAGATAGGACGAGGGAAAGAAGAGCTCTGAATTGACGCCTCTTGAAGAGAATTACTCTCTTTCACTTGCAGGAACAAGAAATGTCCTGAGAACACAACAACATTTAACAAGCTGCTTGACACCAATGATCTGCATTTTTACAGCTAAACACAAATCAAATACTAAATTTGACATTTATAAAACAACTTTATATGAGAGTTGTCTCATTCAGCTTTTTGTAAGTTTCTGATGAAAAAAAACCACTAGAATAAATCTACATTTTGAAAAGACAATGGTGTAATTTCCCCGTGTATCTGAAACATAGTATTTCACTATAATAAGAGGAGCAACCAGCAGATTAGTAATAAAATCAGGTTGTAAATCATGTGCACATGAACACAACAACCTGGTGTGCGCTGAAGAGAGACGCCCTGCATGTCGTCTTTCTCCAGGAGCTCGTCTCCAGCGACCCTCCTCCAGCCTGAGCGTTGATGGGATGCAGACCAACCACATGAATCCAGCTCAAACGAACAGTATGAGCCCAGGGGAAGAGCATCTGGGAGGAAATCGGCTTATTAGAATTCACTAACAGAGAGAGAGGCAGCAGCTGCAACAACAACAAAAGCGTCATACGCAGTTCAGGATGCAGGTTGGATAAATCGCATATGAGGAAATGTTTTCAGATGTTTTTCTTGCATTGCATTATTTTTAGGGGAGTAATATTTTTGGTTAGGTCCAAATCATCCATGTAGCGATACAATCAAATACGGGGAGGTGCATTGTTAGTGCAGCCATTTGATATCAGATCAACAAACCGTGGAAGAACTGATGACGAAAATTAATTTTAGCACCATGTGCGTATGACAATGTCCAAAACTTTCTTGTAAACATACATCAGGTTTAGCAGGTCATATACGAGATGGCTACTTACACATACCGTGTTTTCTGGCGTATAAGTCACAGTTTTGTGCATAGATTTGTCAGTCCTACGACCTATACGCCGGAGCGACATATATGTTTTTTTCCCACATTCATAACGTGATTTTTGACTGACGCTTTAAATTTTGAAGAACTGCAACAGTGAGTCCTCCCATGCGCGTTCGCTTCACTCAACCGGTGCAGACGGAGGAACGCTGGAGAGCTAGCGGCTCCTGCTGCGATGGATGGATGGCACCACGCTGCAGGCAAATTAAAGCCGTTTTGACCATGAAAGTGCATTTATTAAGGAAAAGTTAAACTGAGACACACCTTTGCTATAATGTCGAGCAAACAAAGAATTGTTTTTATGTGTTAATCTTGTTAAATTTCCAAGAACTGCAACAGCGAGTCTCCCGTGGGCGCTCGCTTCACTCAACTGGTGCAGGTGGAGGAACACTGGAGAGCTAGTGGCTCCGGCCGCGATGGATGGATGGATGGCGCCACGCCGCCAAGGCAAAATGAAGCTAATCTGACTATTAAATAAACGCATAATAAATGCGACGGGTCAGCGGTGATGCAGAATAAATGCGACTTATATGCTGAAGCAACTTACATATGTTTTTTTCCTCTTCATGATGCTTTTTTAACTCATGTGACTTATACTCCGGAGCTGGAAAATACGGTAAAGAGTGGAGGTAATATCCAAACCCAAAGAGGTCTTCTGTGTGTGAAACCAAACTCTAATACTTTGTGGTCCAATCACTAAATGTCTGTTCATGAGAGGGCTGAAAGTGTCCAAGTACTAGACCAAATGTATAAACGTCTCAAAAGGGAGCACATGTTTCCGTGTGAAGTAAGGTGAGAAAATGTCACAAATGAAATCTTAGTGGGTGTTAACATCCAACGAAGAGTGTTCTTCTGAGTCACGTGAGCAGGACTTTATTTGTGGGAGGTAGAGTCTGACCATCGCTGAGACCCGGCTCCGTTCTCCAGGGACAAACAACTCAAGGACTCTAAATAGCTCTGACAACATTGATTTCATTACCGCCTGATGTGAAGCCTTTTGATTCTCAGCGTGCTGAAGTGTTTTTTATTGCACAGATTGATGTTTTCAAGGAGAAGGCTTGTTATATGTTCAGAGCCTGAAGTGGACTGAAATGTAAAGACACGAGATATTCCTAAAGCAGATTTGTTTTCTGGGACTTACTGTGTAAAATGTGAATAATTATGAGCTGTTGCACAAATATTCATCATTAAAGCATGTATTTGAAAACTGTTAGAAACTATCAGGTGAATATGATTTAGTTTGAACAAATCTCCGGTAAACTCTGTGATTTTATTTTATTTTTTTAAATAAAAACCCTCACCACAGATTAGGCCTTCGTCTTCACCCAGAGGACAGTCCGTGTGGAAGTTACACACTTGGCTCCGATCGATGCAGCTGTCCGAGTTTTCACAGTGGAAAGATTTTTCACAAGCTACGTCCAGGTTAACGTCTTCATCATCATCATCATCTGCAATCACACAACATATACTTTATTATCCCCAAACAGGGGCTGAAAGATTTTTATTTAATATGTCCGTTTGTTTGAACCTCATGTAAGTGCACTCCTTCATGTTTACACTGAAAAATGCAAACTGTTCCGTTATTTTAACAAGTTGTATCATGAAGGAGGTGCCTTCATGAACGACTGAAGTTTTCTCTCTGGATTAACGTCCAAAAAGAAACAAAGTCTAAACGAACTTGGTCTGTTTGAGTCTTTTGCATCGTATTTTTTGCAGGAGCACAGCAGCAAACATCTGCCGTGAGCAGAACGCTAGCTCTTTAAGTCCTTCAACTCCACAATTTATGAGTTATTTTAATACTTTATACACAACATCAGTGTTAGATGAGGCTTGTCATCGTTTAATAAAAACAAAATGCGGCGTGGATTAAATTTGCAGCCAGAGTAATTGTTCAAGCTGTTTTTTTCATCATGACATGAAGGAAAAACTTGACTGAGTGTGGAGCCAATGAACTGTATTGATCCGTATTATAAGATGCACAACGCCGAGAAACATATTACTTAAATTATTTTAAAGTTCAGTTAGTCATCTGATTAAAAAAAAGGACTTTAAATATGAAAAAATAATCATTAAAGGTTGCAACTGATGATGAATGAACCCTGAAATGTTTTGTAATCATTTTTAAGTCTTTATTTTCCCGTGTTTAAAAGTTAGAGTTTTAAAAAATAATAAAGTAATGTTCATTTTTAGGTGAACTAGAAGCTTTTTGTAATAAATATTCTCTTGAGACTCACATGGAGACATATGTTTTTTAATGAATTAAGCTTTTCTATTTGTGTTTAGCTCAATAAGGACACTGCTATTGACAGGTGCAAATAAACACTTCAAGAAATGTGTGTAAAAATAAATGTAAAGCAACTGAAATACAGGTTCAAACAAGAAAAATCCGTCTGTGATGACATTATCAACCACTTTAACTAACAATAACTTGTCTTAGGAAGCACAAATTCCAACTCAAAGTCTCATAAATGAGGAAAAAAATCACCTCAACCCAGTTAAAGGTCTAAATCTGGTTTAATGTGCTCAGAGCTGCACAGAACAAGAACTCACCTGAGTCACAGTCTATGAAGTGCAGAGAGTCCAGAGCCACATCACCTTCGCCCACACAGGAAGTGTAGAGCAGGGTCACCCTAAAAGGTTCATCCACCTGACCAATCTCAGCCTCCAGGACCTCCCACTTCACCCTGCTCAACAAATAAAATGCTTGGAAAGTTATCCATAATAACTCGTCCTATGGAGTTTTTCTTTATATTTGCTTAAATGCACAAAAATATACCCCCAAATGTTTTGGAAAAGTCGTCAGAGTCAGACATGATGGAAGCAGCTCTGTTACCAACCATCTGTGTCAATGTTTTACTCAGCTAAACCCTTAAAACCTTCACAGTCTGTAATCTATTTAAGATGAATGAAGCTTAGTTATCTGACGACATGAGTGTTCACATAAAAACAGGTGGAGTTTGATCCATGGATCAGGAAGGAAAGGTGGGGAAATCTTATCGAGTCAACCAGACTTTTGCCTCGGTGCATTTTATTAAATAAATGCCATCTTTATTGGAGAAATCACATAAAGTTTTTAGCTTTAAACATGAAACTGAGATAAAAGCAGTTCATTCTGGTAAATGGGATGGTTTTAATTAAGATTTTTTGCAGCAACCCGACTAAAACATAACCTAAAATAGCCTTTTAAATGTAGAACAGAGTAAGGACTCATGCTTTATTTCCTTATGACTGACAAGAAAAACCTTTAGAGTTCAGAAGAGTTGGGTACAAAAATAATTTACAATCATTCATAATCTTCACAAGTTACCAGAAACAAACTTTGGGTAGAGCTTTCACCTGACTTGTCTCAAAACTGGTTATAATTCTATTCAGTTCAATTCAGTTTATTTATACAGCGCCAAGTCACAACAGAAGTTGCCTCAAGACACTGAACAGAAACATTCATGTATAAAATAATAATTTAACATTATTTATCTGAGGGGCAGACTACTTTTAATTTAACTCCATCACTGAAGTCTCATCTTGAGCAAGCATGAAGGAGACAGTGGGAAGGAAAAACTCCCTCATGAGGAAGAAACCTCCATCAGAACCAGGCTCAGGACAAGCGTCCATCTGCTTTGACCAACTGGGTTTAAGAGGAACAGATACACAATGGCAGGTTGAGAATCACATGTTACAATAGAAATAATATCAAATGAAAACTATTCAATTTTAACAATTTATTTAAGGAAATGAGGTCAATTTGTCCTCCAGTAGTCTAAGCCTATAGCAGCATAACAAACCAAAACTAATTATAGGATTTATCAAAGAGGAAAGTCTTAAAACTGGACAATGTGTCAGCCTCATGGACAGAAACTGTACGTTGGTTCCACAAGAGAGGAGCCTGATAACTGGAAGATCTTCCTCCCATTCTGCTTTTGGAAACTCTAGGAACCACAAGTAAACCTGAAGTCTGAGAGTGAAGTGCTCTGTTAGGAAAATATGAAACAATAAGATCTCGAATATAAGATGGAGCTAGGTTGTTGAGGGCTTTGTAGATTAGAAGTAAAATTTTGAATTTAATTCTGGATTTGACAGGGAGCCAATGGAGAGAAGCTAAAACTGGAGATATGATCTCTCCTACTAACTCCAGTTAAGACTCTGGCAGCAGCATTTTGGATCAGCTGAAGACTTTTTAAAGAAGTATTTTGACACCCAGATAATAAACCATTGCAATAGTCCAGTCTAGATGTGACAAATGCATGAACCAGTTTTTCTGCATCATTTTTAGATAAGATGTTTCTCATTTTAGTGATATTACGCAGATGGAAGAAGATGGTTCTAGTAATTACTATTATTTTATTATTATTATTTGGTTATTTCCAAATTATACACCCAGATAAATTCTTCAACTTTTTGCATCACAAACAAATATCCAACAGAGTTAGCAGTTTAAAAATGAACAGAAAGCCGGCGCTGGCCTTGATGCTCTTGTTAGAGTTTTTTAAAAAAAAGAGGGATAAAAATTAGATTGTTGTGGACGTCGTCGCGGCTGGATAAAGACATCGGTCGGATTAACAGTTTTCTGATACCGCTTGATATTTTCTATAGGTTGTCTTTGACTGTCAGGGTAAACTGTCAGCACTGAACAAGACTGATTGATTTAGATAAGTCTTCCAAAACCGAAACCCGCTCAGTTTGGACCCGGTGTGTTGCTCTCCTCACACATCTCTTCTTATTAATGTGATGCCTGCTCTGTGCTCCTCACCTCACTAAATCATCCATCCAGTTTCATTTCATGATTTGAAGAAATTCTTTTTGGCTTCCTCCATGTCTTATATTGTTTTACATTCTGTATTTTCAATAATAACCCTTTCTCCTTTTGTTTCACCATTAAAATGTATCAGTTTTTACATCTTTCTGCCTCCGACTTTTATCTTTATGGGTCTTCTGATGGGTAATTTCCATAATGATTTTTTTTCTGTAAAGACTCTGATTACTTCAATTAATTGCTACTGAGACGACCCAACACATGCTACAGTAAAGGCTAAGTCACAACCTGCACTTTAGTTCGGAGCATATCTGGAAATTACATCACCAGGTTTGCATTGTATGAATGACGAACGGAATAAATGGAAACCGTGTGTGTGTGCCTCATAATGAAATTGCAGAAGCCATTACTGCGTCCACTAACAAAGCCAACACACCAGCTTATTGCTCATGCCCATCCATCCCTCTTCTGTCCTCACCAATTACATCTAAATGAATCTCCGGCCTACATCCAGAGACAGGAATGCTTTTAGCTCTTCTAAAAATGGCTGTGCTTCAGCATTTGATCAATAGGAAATACCTGCCCACAACTCCCAAACAATACTTAGAAGACTGCCGCCCCCTCCTTGCTGTCCCGTCTTAAATCTTCCTTATTTAACTGGTACCACAAACTGTAAGAAAAATGTATTAGCCTAATTGACCTTGCTCTGTCTGCTCTTGAGTCTGACCTTCCTGCGGTTTATCTTATAAGAAAACCTCAGCTTAAACTCCAAGGCAGCAAGGTGGGCTTCAGTTCTTGACACCAGATGAATTGACAGATTTTGCAGCATTTGTGGTAAGAAGCCAAACAGTTGACTTAGAATGGTGCAGAGGGACAAAGAAGCAGTTCCTGACCTGTGGTTCCCTGGTCTCCTGTCGTTTAAAACCTCAGAGCGGATGATCAAATCCGACACAACTAGTTTGATCTGGACCGTGAGGTTCCCCACCGTTGGCCCGGCCTCATACAGAGCCACCTGTAAGATGCACTGCCTGTTGCTTCCAGGCAGGTCTGGACTGGTTATTTGGTGCTCACATTTCCCATCAGGCGAGGAGCTCGGGAGGAGGAAGTGCCCTGAGTACAGAAAACAAAGAAACTTTAATGTTGACAGCCTTAAAGCAGCTTCATGAAACTGTAACTCCCATAAGTCATTTAACTAAAGCTTCAACACAAAACAATCCCAGATTTTGCTTCCAATTAAATATAAATTTAAGCAACATGTCAGTTCTGAAGAAACCTACTCAAACAGAAGCATTAAAGCCCACATGATGCTCTCATCTGAGGCTAATTCTTACCGTCAGCTCTTCCCTCAGAGTAGTCTGTCGCAGGCATCAATCCAGGCTTCGAGATCTCGAGTTCCTGCGGAGACACCACCATCCAGTCGCTGTGAGTCCAAGGGCACGGCGACTCAAAGTCACAAGAGGCAACTGCAACAGAAAATATCAAACATGTACAAATTTACATCATAAAAGAAACACACACACATTCTAACATATCCATAACAGAGCAAATAAACTATCAAGAAATGTAAATTATTGCTTTCTGTTCACACAGTGGAGCAAAAGGACTCACGATTCATGACATCTAAACTGCAACCAAACCAGCTGTCACTGTTTTAATTCAGGTTTTTTCATTTGGGGGAAGTTGTCTTCAAACAGAACGTTGTTAGAGTCAAACAGCTAAGCCTAATTTTTTCAAGTCACTATAGTAGAATTTGGCATTAATCTGGCCTACAGCTCTAATGTTAAAAATCTTAGTGTTATTTTTGATCAGGACATGTCTTTTATCCCCCACAATAAAAGCATTACTAGAACCTCCTTCTTCCACCTGCATAATATCACTAAAATTAGAAACATCTTATCTAAAAATGATGCAGAAAAACTGGTTCATGCATTTGTCACATCTAGACTGGACTATTGGTTTATTATCTGGGTGTCCAAATATTTCTTTAAAAAGTCTTCAGTTGATCCAAAATGCTGCTGCCAGAGTCTTAACTGGAGTTAGTAGGAGAGATCATATCTCTACAGTTGTAGCATCTCTTCATTGGCTCCCTGTCAAATCCAGATTTTAATTCAAAATCTTACTTCTAATCTACAAAGCTCTCAACAACCTAGTTCCATCTTATATTTGAGATCTTATTGTTCCATAATTTCCTAACAGAGCACTTCACTCTCAGGCTGCAGGCTTACTTACGGTTCATAGATTCCAAAAGCAGAATGGGAGGAAGATCTGTCAGTTATCAGGCTCCTCTCTTGGGGAACCAACTTCCAGTTTCTGTTCGTGTGGCTGACACGTTGTCCAGTTTTATGACTGGGCTGAAGACTTTCCTTTTTGATAAATCCTATAATTAGGCTTGGCATGTTATGCTGCTATAGGCTTAGACTACTAGAGGACAAATAAACCTCATTTCTAGAAATGATTTGCTAAAATTGGATCATTTTCATTTGATACTATTTATATCTTAACATGTGATTCTTGACCTGCCTTTGTGTATCTGTTCCTCCTTCCTGTTCCTCAAAATTACCAGCAACATGCCGGATTCAGCCTTCCAGCTGGATGACAGACTTTTTTCCGAGCAGACCGCTGCAGCTAGCTAACGGGGAAATCAAGGGGAGACCAAGTACGCATTTACTTGAGTAAAAGTTGGTGCATAAACTGTATGCTGGTAAAAAGCTCATGTTCCAAGGTTTTGGAGCAGCTAACAGTGAAATGTCGACCACATTATCTACCCCATGAGTTCACAGTGACTTTCATAACAGTCGTTTATATCGCCCTGGATGCTATTTCTAATGATGCTCTGTAGGAACTTCATGATCTCTTCAGCTCGCTGCAAAGCAAACACCCTGAGGCTCTTTACATGGTAGCTGGTGACTTTAATCACGTGAATCTAAAATACTGCCTCCCAAGATTTTACTAGCATGTGGGCATACCAACACATGGAAACAACACGCTGGCCCATGTTTACACAAACGTAAAAGATGCATACAAAGCTAAACCCCACTCCCACCTATTCTCTGATCACCTCTCAATCTTCCTGGCTCTTGCTTACCTGCCCCGTTGTGACGTTCCAGACAAAAGAAAGTTAAATCTTGGCTCCAGAACAGTGGCCTCATACTGAGAGATTGTTTTGAACGAACAGACTGGGAGGTTTTCATAGAAGCTGCTGAAAATGGTGGGGTACTAGACCTGGAACAATACACATCCTCATTTCTGGGGTACATTAGTACTGATGACATCGCCACCATAAGATATGTTAAAAGTTACCCAAACAAAAAACCTTGGCTGAACGCTGAGGTGCGCACCCTGCTGGAAGCCAGGAACACTGCCTTCAGGTCTTGAAGCTCAGAGGAGCTGAGTAGGACAAGGAACGTGCTGGTTGCTGGTATTAAGAAGGCTAAGGCCACACATGCACAGAGGATTGAGGGTCAATTCATCTCACAAGACCCATGGAGCATGTGGAGGGGCATTAAGTGCATAACAAATTATAACAGCATGAGTGAACAATGCCCTAGAAACCCATCACTGCCTGATGCCCTCAACAAGTTCTATGCATGCTTTGAAGACCCGAACAGACCACCCAGCACAAGATTCACCTCACCACCGGACGAAAAGCTTCTCAGAGTGACCTCAGCAGACATAAGGAGTACTTTCAGGAGGATTAATACTCACAAAGCAACTGGCACAGACAACATCCCTGGGAAGGTGTTGAAAGAATGTGCCAATCAGCTCTGCAAAGTGCTGGCCGAAATCTTTAACACCTCACTTACCCTGGAGACAGTTCCCACCTGCCTGAAGACTGCCACCAACATCCCATCCCAAAGAGCTCTACAGTGACTGGTCTGAATGACTATCAGCCAGTGGCCCTCACCCCGACAGTCGCTAAATGCTTCGAAAAACTGGTCATGACCCACATCAAAACAACCATCAACATCAACGAGGACCCTCACCAGTATGTATACTGTGAGAACCGATCAACAGAGGATGCCATCTCCTCTGTGGTCCACACGGCTCTCACCCACCTGGAGCAGAAGGACACCTATGTTTGTATGCTCTTTGTGGACTTCATGTCTGCCTTCAACACCATGATCCCTCAAACCTTGATGGACAAGCTACTCATACTAGGACTAAGCCCATCCATTTGCAACTGGGTCCTAGACCGCAGTCAGTGAGGATCCACAACTTCTCCTCCTCCACCATAACCCTCAGCACTGGCTCTTCTCAGGGATGTGTGTTGAGTCCCCTCCTGTTTACTCTGCTCACATATGATTCTGCAGCTACCCATCCAGGCTGTCACATTGCAAAGTTTGCAGATGATACAGCGGTGGTGGGATGCATCACAAACAATGATGAGTCCAGCTACAGGCAAGAGGTGGAACACCTGGAAAGCTAGTGCAAAGAGAATAACCTTCACATCAATGTGAAGAAGACAAAGGAGATGATTGTGGATTTCAGAAGGAACAAACACACCTAGATCCCCCTGAACACAAGAGGATCTGCGGTGGAAGTGATCTCCAGCTACAAGTACTTGGGTGTACACATGAATGACAACCTTAGCTGGAGCAACAACAATTCCAGTCTGATCAAGAAAGCTCATCAGAGACTCTACTTCTTCAGGTGGCTGAGACGAGCTGGTCTGGGAAGCTCAGTCCTCACCTCCTTCTACAGGTGTGCAGTGGAGAACATCCTGTGCTCCAGCATCAACATGTGGCATGGAGGCTGCACAGCTGCAGAAAGAAAAGCTTTGCAGAGAGTGGTGAAGGCTGCACAGAAGTCTGTTGGAGTCAGTTTCCCCACCATCACAGACATCTACACCTCCAGATGCAGGAAGAGGGCCACCTGCATCATGAAGGACCCCACTCACCCAACACACACACTTTTTGCCCCACTCCCCTCAGAAAGGAGGTTGAGGAGCATTAAGTGTAGAACCACTAGACTGAGGAACAGCTTCTACCCTGAGGCTGTTAGACTCATGAATCTCTAACCAGGAAAATCACTGTGAAAAATCACATCATGCTGCTGCTGATCTGTTTTATGTTGTTGTGTTCATGTATGCTCATCTGCTCAGGAAATGAAAGCCAACAAGATGAACCTCTGCAAGAATTCTTCTAGGTATCAAATAAAAATATGAAACATAAATTGATTAGTTTTAAACTCTCCTTTGATCAATGTTCAGGTGTTCTCAGCAGGCTTTGCACCACTTTAACTCGATTTCTACAATTTAAGTGTTGGAACAGCTCAAGTCAACCACTGAGGTTCTTTGTGGGTTTCTGCTCCTTACAAGTGAAGTTTCTTTTGCAGTTATGATAATTTATTGTGTCAGTGTGTGTCAGCTCGTCAGTGAGTACACAACTCTTACTTTGGTTGTCGTCTTCCAGGTGAGTCAGGAACAGATCTGTGAAAGTTTCGTCTTCTTGGATTCTGTCACATAAAGTTTGCCAGGCACTGCTCACTGAGGAAAGATATATAAAAAAAACCAGAAACACAGACTTTTATCACTTTCATATTATTGTTTTGATGGAAAAAAATGTGCCTGGCTGAGGAAATAAATGTCTGCTTTTAGTATAAACTGGTAGAGCGTCAGCTAACTGGCTACAGCTGATGTTCCCAGCAGGAACTTGTTTAGTAATCATATTCAAGAACAAATTTACACAAATATACAATAATATACCAAAAATATGCACATAAATGACTTTTCAAAACATCCATATTGGATGTGGAGATGAACAAAATAAGTAAAGAGTAGTAGTGGTCCCACTAACGAGCTAACATATCAAACATCCAAGACATTGTCAAGTTTTGTTAATTTTTTTGCTTGATAATGAATTATTATTGCTCATATTATTCATAGTTAAAGATTGAATGTTAAAATATCAGCTATGTAAAAATTCAGATTTTCCAAACCATATGCTTTTGTCCAAATCAACGAGCAGTGGCAGCACAGGTGAATGTTTTTAGCTGCTTCACCTGCAGGTGAGGGCAAATCCTGAGCAACTTCCTTGTTGCCTACAAGAGCTCAACATTCTGTCTTTGGTGTTTATCATTGTTTTATTAAACTCATCTTTTTCCTTCTTTGTTAAGAAACAAATCTTTATTTTGTGGTTGAAGATGCTTGCACATGGCAGAAGTTGTAGTTGTCTGGGATCCTTTTTGTGGTCTTTAAAGATAATATTTTAGTTTAGTTTTTATTATTATTATTATTATTATTTTGTTTGTGTGACATGTGTTTGGCTTTTTTATTCATTTGTGTTTGCTCCTTTTAGTAGACCCATATCTTTTTTCTAATATAAGATTTATAAAAGGCGCAATTCAAATCATTTAATTTTTTTTCAAAAACTCAACAGTGAGCCTTACTAATTAAGTGTTAATTAGGCCCGAGCAGCAAAGCGCTGCGAAGGCCTATTGTAATTGTGTCGTTTCTTATTAGGCCCGAGCAGCAAAGCGCTGCGAAGGCCTATTGTAATTGTGTCGTTTCTTATTATTATTATTAGGCCCGAGCAGCAAAGCGCTGCGAAGGCCTATTGTAATTGTGTCGTTTATTATTATTATTATTATTATTATTATTATTTTTCTTGGGACTTTTGGGACGCATTTTTGGAGGCCTTAGCATATCCCAAAACTCACCAAACTTCACCAAAACTTGTCCCCCTAGTAAAATTTTTGAACTGTAATGGATCCAAAAGTGGGCGTGGCCAAACTGCTCTACAGCGCCCCCTAACGTGAGATATGAAAACTGGTAAGTCCTAGAGAGCTGAAATTTGGTACATAGGTAGAACCCACCGAATCAAGAAAAAAAGTCTCTTGGAGGTATGCCTTAAACCCAACAGGAAGTCGGCCATTTTGGGTCAAAGGGTCAAATTTGGCCGTTTTTCACTTTTCGTACACGGCGAATTTGAACGAACTCCTCCTAGGGATTTCGCTCAATCGTTTTCAAACCTTCGCCATTTTGCTCAGTAGGCATGGGGGACCAAAAGTTATCAAAACGGTGCAAACCGACGCATGTTGAGGGGGCGGGGCCGGACCTCAAAGTTATGCTTCACGCCAAAAATTTCTAAACGCTACAACTTTCACGTTGAAAAACAGAATTGTACCAAATTTTGCACGAGTCATCCCTGTCCCATGGCCGACGATACCCTGAGGTCAAATTTTGACGCCATCAAAGCCCCGCCCCCTCAGAACAGGAAGTGACTTTTTTTGCTTGGAATGCTCCCTCCCTGACACTCTTGACCCAATCAGGATGATCCTGTGTTAGAAGGCAGATAACAAGTTGGTCTGACTTGCTTTGAAGCGCAAAGCGTTTCCCCTGGAGGATGTGGGCGTGGCGGCGTGGCGAAGTCAGAAGTGACGCCGTTACAATACGTTTGGCTCTGAATTCCACAGATTTGATCCGAGGTTCATGAAAATCACTATGATCGATCATTGCCCGCCCCTTGAACAGGAAACCATGATGATTGCGCAATAGCCTCTCTAGCGCCCCCTAGAATATTTTAAAACCTCAGCCCCGAGCCATTTTTCGACCGATAAATCTGAAACTCGGTGAACATGTGTATCTTCTCAGGACCTATGAAAAAGTCTCTTGGCGCTCCGGTCCAAAACCAACAGGAAGTCGGCCATTTTGGGTCAAAGGTTAATTTTTGGGCGTTTTTAACGGCGAATTTTAACGAACTCCTCCTAGGGATTTTGAAGGATTGACTTAAAACTTGGTTATTAGGCCCTTAAGACATTGGAGAGTAAAAGTTATCAAAAGCTTTCGGTTTCGTTTTGTTAAAGGGGCGTGGCCAGGCCTCAAAGTTGAGCTTCACGCCATAAATTTCCAAACGTTATAACTTTCAACTTGAATGACAGATTTGCACCAAATTTGGCATGAGTCATCCCTCTCCCATGCCCGACGATACCCTGAGGTCATATTGTGACGTCATCAAAGCCCCGCCCCCTCAGAACAGGAAGTGACTTTTTTTTATTGGAACGCTCCTTCTTTGACACCCTTAACATAATCAGGATGATCCTGTGTTAGAAGACAGATAAGATGGTCTGACTTGATTTAAACAACAAAACAGTTATAGCTGGAGAATGTGGGCGTGGCGCCATGGCGAATTAAAAAGTGACGCCGTTGCAATACGTTTGGCTCTAAATTGCACAGATTTGAGCCCAGGTGAACCAAAATCACTATGATTGATCATTATCCACCTCTGAACAGGTTTCCATGATAAGTGGCCAAGAGCCTCCACAGCGCCACCTAGATTCTTCTTACAGTTATATCTCAGTGATACAACATCCGATCTGAACCAGATTTTTGGTGTGTCATTACTGAGAACTGATGGACATTTTAGTTTTGTTGTTTAATATTTGACTCAAGGGCGC